TGTGACCTTGCTCGTTTTAGAGTTCAAAGCTTGAGTCAGATATGAGGCATGAAAATAGGAGCAGAATAAATCACCGTTTAAAAAACCCCAAAACAAGTTCTGTCCTAGTCCCTGTGTGTGCACCGCTTGCTGGATGGATCAGAGGGTAAAAGTTTACGGGAAACATTTATCATAAAAAGTTTGAAGTGACAACACTGCAGTTTGTAGCTGTTACGCTCCTCCTCCCCCTTTAACCTTTCAGGAGAAACAAAGAGAACTCACGTCCAATGTTTTCCTCATCCTTCTGCTGCTTTTCCTCCAAATCGATACGTGGGGAATAATGCATCACAGGTCTGCTGAAGGGTGCTGTTAAATGTCACGCTATAAAAGCGCTACAACAGTTAATTGTCTGCCTGAGAATTCTCTGCGAGGACTATTAAATAACCCTCTAGTACATTAGCAGCTTGTTTGGACAGCGAACATGTCCTGATGGAGTTTCAGTAACCTTTACCTCGGCTTCTCCCCGGCAGGCGGGGAAGGTACGCAAACACGTGTCGGAGCAAGAGAAGGCGGAGGAGGGCCTCGGCCCCAACATCAAGTCCATAGTCACCATGCTGATGCTGATGCTGCTCATGATGTTTGCCGTCCACTGCACCTGGGTCACCAGCAACGCCTACTCCAGCCCCAGTGTGGTGCTGGCATCGTACAACCACGATGGGTAAGGACTCTGGTTTAGCAGGAGCTCTGTGATTGGAGGAACTATTCTGTGTGTTTGAGCTGTTTACAACAGAGCTGAGAGTATCCTTGAACAGTTGGCCCCTCTATAAAGGGTCAGTCCACTGAAATTACATATTTTTTCCCCTCCATGCTGTAACTGTGCATTTAGAGATCTGCCCCTGACATTTCTACCCTCGCTCTAATGTACGAGCACGGTTTGCACCTCTTACAGCAGTGACATTTAAAAATCCAACAGCAGCTTCTCTACACAGACCACGCTGTCATCATGTTTTCAATGAGGTTACTCTCTATTTTGTGTCTTTCAGTTCTGTGGGCTTAAGTGGATTACAACATTTAGCTCCACATGATGCTTCCTACCAGATGTGCTGTGTTTTTATGTTTTTTTTTTTTTTAAAGTTCTGTTTGATGAAACTGTTCACTTCATGCTTTAAATGAATAGAGGCGGTCTTAATCCACACCAAAGCTCCTTGCTCAGCGGCTCCATGCTGCCACTCCTCTCTGCAGATATCAGAAAACACTGTAGCAGAGTGCTGCACACTCGGTGGAACAGACTGCCGTCAAACGGAAACTGTCAGGCACATTCTGGTTCCTGAGGCAAAGATTTAAAAGAGGGACCCATCCAGCGTGTACTTATTTCCTGTCAGAGTTGATGCTGTTACAGTGATGGATGCTCATTATTATTTTAGAGTTCTTACCTTAAAATATAAAGTGCCTTGAGGCAACTGTTGTCAATAAAATTTAATTGAATTCATATTAAACATGGTCAAGGTTTCAAATAATTATGGCTGGTGTATATACCAGTAACCCCTGTGAGCCGAAAGCTCAGGCTACTCTAACCACTGAGTTTGTTTT